CTCTGCTTAAGTCGGTTGAGATACAACCTAGATCACTTTCTGATCATTCACCAATAGTCACGATAATTGAAAATAGGGGCTATTATCATAAGTTTACCATGGAGATTGAATCTGGGTTGTTTTTTTTTGTTATTGCATTAGGATAAGAGATATCGCTATTCTTAAATACAAATGCAAAGTCAGCATCACAGGGGATATTATATGCAATTTTTCTCTAAAGGTCCTAAATGAGGGGGATATTCTCACAACAGATTAGTAGGGTAAGGAGGAAGTTGAATAAGCAGGAGGAAGAGGCGCAGATAGAAGTGGGCAAGAAGGAAGCCCAGTTTGTAATGATTCAATCCAACTTGGCTTAACCCCATAACACCATCCTGCCATCCAACATCTTTATTTGTGCACAACCCAATGATCTTTACCTTTGATGTACACCCCTGACTGCTGCTTAGGCACAACTACATTCGCTGTTTTGTTGTAATGCTTATCTGAAAACAATAAAAATTTTGTGGTTAAAATAAAAAAAAATACTGGGAAGAGGGGGAGAGCACTGTTTTGTTGCCCCCCTTACTGCAAACATATGAGGAGGCAATAAAAATAGGGAGGCTGCCTGAACCTATATACACTATATATAAGTATTGGGACACTCCTCCAAATCATTGGCCACAGGTGTATAAAATCAAGCACCTAGGTGTGCAGACTGCTTCTAAAAACATTTGTGAAAGAATGGGTCGCTCTCAGGAGCTCAGTGACTTCAAGTGTGGTACCGTGATAGGTTGCCACCTATGCAATAAGTCCATCCATGGCATTTCCTTGCTACTAAATATTCCACGGTCAATTGCTAGTGGTATTAAAACAAAGTGGAAGCAACTGGGTACAAAAGCAACTCAACCACGAAGTGATAGGCCATGTAAAATGACAACGGGGTCAGCGCATGCTGAAGTGCGCAGAAGTCGCCAACTGTCTGCAGAATCAAAAGCTACAGACCTCCAAACTTCGTGTGGCCTTCAGATTAGCACAACAACAGTGCGTAGAGAGCTTCATGGAGTCGGTTTACATGGCCGAGCAGCTGCATCCAAGCCTTACATCACGAAGTGCAATGCAAAGCGTCGGATGCAGTGGTGTAAAGCACGCCGCCACTAGACTCTAGAGAAGTGTAGACGTGTTCTCTGGAGTGACTAATCACACTTCTGTCTGGCAATCCGATGGATGTGTCTGGGTTTGGCGGTTGCCATGAGAACGGTACTTGCCTGACTGCATTGTGCCAAGTGTAAGGTTTGGTGGAAGGGGAATTATGGTGTGGGGTTGTTTTTCAGGAGTTGGGCTTCCAGTGAAGGGAACTCTTAAGGTATCCGCATACTAAGACATTTTGGACAACTTCATGCTCTCAACTTTGTGGGAACAGTTTGGGGATTTCCCCTTCCTGTTCCCACATGACTGCGCACCAGTGCACAAAGCAGGCTCCATAAAGACGTGGAGGAACTTGACTTGCCTGCACAGAGTCCTGACCTCAACCTGACCAAACACCTTTGGGATGAATTAGAGTGGAGACTGTGAGCCAGGCCTTCGCGTCCAACATCAGTACCTGACCTCACAAATGTGCTTCTGGAAGAATTGTCAAACATTCCCACACACTCCTAAACCTTCTGGACAGCCTTCCCAGAAAAGTTGAAGCTGTTATACCTGCAAAGGGTGGGCCAACTCAGTATTGAACCCTACGGACTAAAACTGGGATGGCAGTAACGTTCATGTGCGTGTAAAGGCAGGTGTCCCAATACTTTTGGCAATATAGTGTATGTGGCCGCAATTATAGTCCTACAGAAAAAAGGGAAGGATTTATTGTTGCCGGAATCTTGCAGACCTATTTTTTTGCTAGGAGCTGATGTTTAGATGATCGCGAAAGTGCTAGTGAATAGGCTATCAAACCTAATCCAAACGATAATAAATCCTGATCAATGTGGCTTTATGGCAAATAAATCGACGGCTCATAATATAAGGAGAGTCTATTTAAATATGCAAGTGCCCTCTGAACAAATAGGGAATAGAGCTTTGCTATCTTTGGATATTGCAAAAGCTTTTGCTATCATAGAGTGGGATTATTTGTGGGCAGAATTTACAGTGTTTGGATTTGGCCCTAGGTTTATTTTGAGTGTTCGGCTGTTGTATGTCAGTCCCTTTTGCTAAAATCCAAGTGAATAAGTTAGTATACTCAGACTATAGGCTAATGGGCGGAACTTTGCATGGGTGCCCCTTGTCACCCCTTCTATTTTCTCTGGCGATAGAACCATTAGCCAACTTAATAAGATCACCTAAGGTGGTGGGATTTAAATGTGGGGAGGAGGAAGATATTATATGCAGATGATATGTTGATTTATTTTTTGGCAGATACTAATTACTCTTTGATAGAGGTTATGTCCATACTTTTAGATTTTGGGAATTATTCAGGGTTGGAGGTAAATTGGAGTAAATCAATGTTTCTTCTGATAGTTCCAATGCAGGACTCATTACCTGTACAACTAAAAACGGGTACAAATTGTGGACTCATTTGGGTATCTGAAAGTTCAGATTAGAGTAAATAGTGTGAATTATGTGGAAGATAATATAACACCTCTTTTGCAGAAATGTATGCAATACTTGGTGTAAGCCCCCCTGGACACCGGTGGGTAGACTCAATCTTCTTAAAATTATTTGAATGCCTCAGCTTGCTTTTATACTGCATAATTCTCAATGTTGGATAGTTCAGAATGTATATAGGAGGATAAATGCAGTGTTTAGAGAGCTGATTTTGGAGAAGGAAGCAATCTTGGAGGTGTATTCTCTTATTAAGTACTTGTTTCAAGCAAAAGATCCCTGAATGGCCCTAGAGACAATCCTATATTTGAAGGAATTTGCATCTTTGCCACCCTATAAGACTGATTGGTAAAGTATGGAAATCAACTAAAGTCCTGTTGAATATTCCTAAATTTGCAACATATGCCCCAATATGGGAAAATAGAAGAATATTTGAAGTGGCTAAATTACAAGGTTTTGGAGTATGGAAAAGAGGAGGGATTTTGACATTGGCACAAATTTATGACAAAGGTATGTTGAGAACATTTCAGTCTCTACAAACAGAATATTTGCTGCCGAACTCCCAGTTTTACAAATATCTGCAATTGAAACATGCGCTTACAACACATCCCATTATTAGTGATATTTATTTTGGCTCAAATTTGGTTTTGGATAAACTATTTATAGCAACTGCGACAATGTTGGTGATTTCAAGACTATATTCTGATCTTATCCCAGAGGTGTTGGGTAAATCACTCTTGAAATGCAGAGAAGGCTGGGAGGTGGATTTGTGCCCAATAGAAAATAGTAGAGGTGCACCGAAATGGAAATGTTAAAACCGAAATTTAAAAAAAGTCAGGCCGAAACCGATACCGAAAATGTTTTTTTTAATTTTTATTTAATTTTTTATTAAATATTATTATTTTTTACTTTTTAGGGGCTTCGGGAAAATATTAGGGGTCTAAACACACCCCTGATATTTCCCTTTTAAAATAGAAAAAGAGATTGAGAACACAGAGTCCTCAATCCCTTTTTCTGTATCCCCCTGTTATCAATGAACAGGAATCCTCGGAGTGTTCCTGTTCATTGATAACTTGAGAATATTGTTTGTTTACTATAACTACAATTATGAATGAATGGGGGTGATATAGTTAACATACCATATTCTCAATTATGTACACACACTCAGCGTTCACTGATCGCTGAGTGTGTGTACCTTGCTCTTCTCTCTGACACACTGGGACAGCGGCCAGCGGGGAGAAAAGAAAACAGGGATGCGCCGATGTATTGGCCGAAACATGGCTCTTTCGGCATTATGCCAAAAGTTCAATTTTCGGCCGACATGTTTCGGCGGCCGATATATCGGTGCATCCCTAGAAAATAGTATATGGGAGGAGGTGCTGTGAACAATCCAGCTGGTGTCACAATCTGCCATACATAGTGCCAATGTATGTATATGATGTGGGAACTTTACTGCAAGTAGAAGACTATGTATAAAAAAAAAGAGCGTGATCAACTGTGTTTAACTTGTATGAGGATCTTTTCCTTTTGTTTATTAAGATCATCATATTGAATCTTTCCTTTTTTGTGGTTTGTTGTTGGTCTGTTCTCTTCTGGTTTTTTTTAATGATGTGATATGATTGGAGTATATGTTATGTACATGTCTGTAAACTTTGAAAATGGTATAATTATATAATAAGTAAAATTTGAAAAAAAGAATCAGTGCAGTGCTTCTTGGGCTTTTTGGCATGATGCACCTGATTTGTAAAGCTGCCACCTGCTCTTATGTTCACCTCCTTTTTTACTAGGTGCATGTTCAGGCTGCATCTAATGCCAACTTCGGGAGTAAGGTCTTTCAGGTTGCTCTTTAAGCAGTTCCCAGTTTTCTGTTTATAGGGGGCCTGTTAGCATTTTGTTTGCTGTGTTGCTCACCTCTCACTTGGGCTGCTTTTGAATATCTCCGCTGTCTTTGAATCCTGTGTTCCTCAATTAAAGATTTTTTTTTTAACTTACCATAAAATCCTTTTTTGGAGTTCATTGTGGGACACAGGACCGACCCCTCTCTGTTTTGATCCTTGTTCTTGGTTTTGAGGTGTGTTTAAAAATGAGGCATGCTGGGAGTGGAAGGCAATATACTAGGCGGGTCACTGTTTTTTTATTTTGTATTTCCAAGTCGCCAAAATCTTCCTGGAAGGGGCACTATAGCACAATTGTCCTTGAATCCTGTACCTCTCTCAATAAACTCCAAGAAAAGGATTTTACAGTGATTAAAAAATCCAATTATGACAATTAAGAAGTAGTAGTCATCCACAAGGCATGGGAGGAAAAGATGTATCCCTGTAAGATGATTTTCTAGTAGTGTTGTTATGTAAGTGATATTTAAACATATAAAAATTTGACTATTTTTTTTAGATGAACCATGTATACATGTAGGTAATGCTTGTTTTTCATTACAGGAAAGACCCCCATGGTTTTTTTGCTTTTCCAGTGACAGATCAGATTGCGCCAGGTTATTTCATGATAATAAAACATCCTATGGATTTTAGTACTATGAAAGAAAAAATTGCTGCAAATGACTACAAATCAATCACAGAGTTTAAGGTATGTCATGTGTTAAAGAGCATTATTAGCCTACCAATGTTTGAGTGATATATCTAAATGTGATTATATTGAGAGATAAATTATTTTTAACTAAGTTTAAATGTCTCTATAACCAAAATTATTTTTTACATTTGGACAGAGTAGGGAAGGGTTAAACCTTTTTCCAGGTTATTTGTTTACTGCCTGCGTAGCATTGGGAACATTTCCTCTTCACTTTCTGTTCTAGATATGCAACATAAAGTGAGAGGGAATCTCCCAAAGTGAGGGAAATTCATTTAAAAGTGACATTAAAGGCAAAGAAAAATGTTTCCCTCCCCCCAATGTTAATGTTAGCACTTACCTTAAATTATGTATCTTTTTCCGATCTTCCTCTTCTTTCCTGATGTTTTCAGCCTTCTCTCCAGCGGTGCGGCGGCGCTCCGATCCAGCGCTGACTGCTCTGTTACTCTGATCCAGCGGTGTCTGCATGCGGGTGCACGCGTCCATAGACTTACCTTGCGTCCCTCGTCGCGTCCCGGCCGAAAATGAGAACTGTGGGCGCTCGAGAAATTTCTCATTTTCGGCATAGGACCGCGCACGGAACACAGGTGAGTCTAAAATGATGTTTGAGCGTTTTTTTACTTTTTGCATATATCTACTGCTTGCTAGCAGTAGATATATGCAAAAAAACGGGAGGGTTTAAATATCCTTTAAGACCATTTGTCATTGAACAGTGGTCCCCATAAGAGGATTTCCCCTTACCTTGTGTCACAAGTACAGATATAAAAAGTTCACTGAGGGTCTAACCCTTCTCCTCTTCACTTAAATGATTGCAAAAAAACCAGGAGGCTTTTTATATAGATCTACTGTCAGCAAGCAGTAGATACAGTATATGCAAAAGCATTCAAAAAAAGTTAACCAAGCGGCCGTGCGCTACCGTCTAAAGATCTGAAGATTCTTGGGCGGCCGCAAAGGATCATGGGGCGGGCACATGCGCAGTAGCTGATCTTCGGACTGGAGAAGAGGAGAGACTCAAGATAAGTCAATGCAGGCAGCGTGCACCCACACAGACTCTGTGGAACAGGAAGAGTCCGGAGTCAGCGCTGGATCAGAGACCCGCACCAGCGCTGGAGGGACTACTGGAAAGGAGAAGAGGATTGGATCAAGAGGCATCATTTAAGGTTAGGCCTTTCACCAGCATTGGGGGGGAGGGGGGCATTTTAGGCTTTAATGACACTTTAAATATACTGAGGGGGATTTATCAAAACTGAAGCAGACAACATCTGGAGCAGCAATGCATGACAACCAATCTGCTTCTCTTTAATTTTCAAATCTTAACTGAAGAGAAAAGCAGATTGGTCTCCCCGGGCAACTGCTCCAGTTTTGATCAATCCCGCCCACTGTGTTCTGTGTTTACTTTCCAGTTGTATACATCCCTTGGGTGGCATTTTGCTTCCCTCTTATAACTGCAGCACATTGGCTGTTTCACTGCAATTTTTCTCTCTTCCAGTACAAACCAAATTCCCCATGAATGATTATTCTTTCTTTGTAATTAAGAAATTTTTCTTTATACAAGGATTTATTTATATATAATTTTTTTGTCCTGGTCTTGTGATGTGCAGGATCCTTTTCCTCCTTTTTCTGTCCTCCAGCTGTGGGAGGGGCCTGCATGCTGCAGAGAACAGCTATATGTAACATGGCTCTATTCTCTGCATCATTCTTCTGTGTGTCTAGTTTGGCTTCAACCAGGAAGATGACCTGTACTAGAATGTGGACATTATTGCTATAAAAACTAGTTTTTATATTGGGAGAGGAAGGGGGATGAAGTTTGCAACTCTTGAAATTGCTGTAATCAAAATACATCAAAAATTGGCAAACTCGAAATGTGAGCCAAGTTAAATTTCTTGATCTGTATACTTGTTTGGCTCTATTACTCAGAATGTATAGAAACCAGGGCATTAACAAGACAGCCAGGCAACTAAGATTTTAAGATTTCCTTCACTATATCTAAAACACAAATGGAATTGTGCAAAAAAGTGATGCAAATGATCATTGTTACATTACAGATTCTAAACAGCTTTAAGTACAGTGGTACCTCGGTTCACGAACTTAATTCGTTCCGTGATTCTGGTCACAAACCGAATTGGTCGTGAACCGAATCAATCTGTGATCAGACCGCAATCTTGACTAGAGGAAGTCACGACCAGTGTCAGAGCAGGGAAGATTACAGTCCATGTACCCATTGCCCTCCTGACCGCTCGTCCATCAAAGTAACATGGGTGCTCGGTAGTCGACAGATGGCCACCGTCACAGTAATGCAAAAGAATATGGACACCGGCAGCAGGTAGAATACATCTATTTATTGACGTACATGCAAAAAGGTATAGTACACTTAGTGCTAAAAGGTATAGTACACTTAGCACTAAGTGTACTATACCTTTTTGCATGTGCGTCTATAAATAGACGTATTTTTGCATGTGCGTCAATAAATAGACGTATTTTATCTGCTGTTGGAGTGCCGGTGTCCATATTCTTTTGCAGAGCAGGGAAGATGGCTGCGGTTGTGTTCCTCATCAGAGTTCGCGAACAGAAGCAAAATTTTGCAGAACTTCCTGTTCGCAAACCGAATTGTTCGCAAACAGAACCGTTCATGAACCGAGGTACCACTGTATTTCACATTCATGAAAATATTTATAGCCATTTTGGACTGCTTTGTTTCTGAAGATTTTAATGTAAATGACTAAAAGTGCACTTAAGTGTATGTAAAGCCAAAACCTTCTTTCCCCAGTCATCTTCCAGCACAGCCAATGAGATAAGGCTCTGCCTGCCTGCAACAGGAAACACATCAACCACGTTTAAATAAATAGACCCCTCCTTCCATCCCAATTCAGTTTTTTTGTGTTTCCTCCGGCTACACAGGTCACATCGTAATGTTTGTTATTTTCAGGGTTCATTTTCAATTTGCCTCAGAGCAGAGCCTAACCCTGATATGCGTTGGGACCTACTCCAGGATCTCCTGCTGCAGCGCATACAGGGATCCCTTATCGGACCCCCATCCGAGACTAGGCCAAGGTTCCCCTCCGTCATTCAGGGAGGGCAACCATCCTCCTGTGCGTGAGTGGCTCCAGATGGTGACCCCCCCCGGTGTGCAGTAGTGGCAAGGGTGTTACCCTGAGCGGTGTACGGGACTCCCTCTTGTATTGGCATTGTAGGGGGCAGGCTCCAGCAATGGGTGCAGTGTGGTAGACACTTACCAGTCGGAGCACTGTGAGTCGCTGTTCCACAGGGCCATGTATCAGTCTGCTGAACCGCATGGTGGCTTGCGCAGGAGAGTGGCGGTGTCTGCAGGCTGTTTCCAAGGTTGTAATGTTTCAGCATCAGCTGGGAGCGCCGTTGCGCCGCCTGGACACGGAGCTAGGCGCGTCAACGAGTACAGCATGGTACGGTGACGCGCTTCCGTTGCACCATTTCCGGGTTCCGGAACTCAGCGCGCGCTGGCCAGTGTAAAGGCGCCTGGGGACTGAGACAGTCGGCATGTGCAGTTGAGACACCTCCCATACCGAACAGCGCTCGGCCACGACTACTGCGGCTGCACACCTCGCGGACTGACTGGGACCACATACGGTCAGTGGGGACGTCGGGAGCAGGCCGAAAGCGTGGTCGGCAGTGAGCTGCAATATGCCCATGGAGGCCGGACCAGGTGTTGCCCACCCCAGATCTGGGAGAGTATGGCACTAGCGCTAAGGTAGGCGAGTTTACTTGGTAATTCTCCTCTATCCTTACTCAGCTTGTGTTGGGGGCCTGTGGTACAGGACAAGCTAGGTTGTGATGTTTCTCAAACATTGTTTGCATGTTGGGTAGAGCACTGGTTGACGGCATCCTTCTTGTCTTACGCAGGTCAAGGCCTCGGAGGATAAGCCCCTTGCTGAAGCTAGTGGCTCTCACCCAAAAGGGAAGAAGTGTGCCTCTTGCAACGCCAAAATGTCACCTTCATGGTCCAAACCCTTATGCAAAGGCTGTTTAGAGAAGGTGGTGGCCAAAGAATCGGCTGGGATGTTCAAGGGTCTGATAGATTCTATGAGAGATGAAATGGTTACCACTTTTCAATCTTTCCGGTCTGTGTTACAGAACCCAGTGGGACCACTGGTAGATACCAGTTTACCCGGTAATTTTAAAAAGGGCTTTTAAAAAGGGGAAGTCTAAGAGTAATTTCCTCTTTAACCCCCCGCAGCAGCCCAACAAATCCCAATGACCGATTGCTCAGGGTGGGAGGAAGACTGGGGGAGTTCTTCCCGCTCTGGAGGCAACTGACCAGCAACAAATACATTTTGGAACTGGTTCAGATTGGTTACAAAATAGAGCTGACGGAACCGCCTCCGTCAATGCTTCTGATTACTTCCTTGTCAAAGGACCGGAAGAAAGCAGAGGCAATGACAGCGGCTGTGCAAGATCTGCTGGACCAGGGGGTTATAGTGCGGGTACCCGTGTTGGAGGAGAAGAGAGGATTTTACTCCCAAATCTTTTCCAGGATGAAGCCCTCAGGAAAGTGCAGACTGATACTCAATCTGCAGCCTCTGAACAGGGTGGTACTGTACAAAAGATTCCGCATGGAATCGATCTTGTCAATTCGAGAGTTGCTGCCCCTAGGTTCTTTTCTAGCGACTATAGATCTGAGAGACGCTTATTTTCATATTGCAGTAAGAGAGCCGTCACAATACTTACTAAGGTTTGCAGTGCGGGGGTCCTGCACTTTCAATACGGGGCCCTGCCGTTCGGTCTTTCCTCTACGCCTCGAATCATTACCAAAGTGTTGATGGAGACGCTGGCCCCCCTGAGATCTCGGGGGGTAGGGGTCATACCTTATTTGGACGACCTCTTGTTTTTCGCCCCATCAGAAATTGTACTCGCTGGAGTTAGCGATCCAACACTTGGAGAGTCTGGGTTGGTTGGTGAACAGGGAAAAGTCACAACTGGTCCCTGCGCAGACGGTAACATTTTTGGGTTATTGGATCAATACTCAGGAAATTACCATTACTTTACCAGGGGAAAAAGTGTCAATGATGGTGGAAGAAACGCTGAAGTTGAGACTGCAGGGCGCAGTATCAGTCAGGTCAGTGATGAGAGTGGTGGGGCTTATGACGTCCGCCATCCCAGCAGTTACCTGGGCGCAGTTCCGTTCCAGAACCTTACAAAATTGGCTATTGAGGGCCTGGGGAAGTCGACAAGAAGACCTAGACAAAATGGTCCACATCACGGAGGAGACAAAGCAATGCCTCCTGTGGGGGATGGACTGTCGAAACCTCTCAGTGGGCAGGCTGTGGTGCCAGCCTGCACCGTTGGTAGTGACAACGGATGCCTGGGGATGGGGAGCCCATTGCCTGGAGCACATTTGGCAGGATACCTGGGAGCACACAGGCAGAGTCAAGTCGTCAAACTGGAGAGAGCTCTAGGCGATAGGGCTAGCTCTATGCCAGTTTCGAGATGTCTTAGCGGGCCGCCATGTAGCGGTGGCCTCGGACAATGCCGCGGCGGTAGCTTATATAAACAAGCAGGGGGGCACGCGCTCGCATGGGCTAATGGCATTGGCGACGGAAATTCTGTCATGGGCAGAACGAAACCTCCTATCCCTGACGGCGAGACACATCAAAGGCAGCCGAACGGAGCTTCACAAATCCGAATGGGCTCTGAACGCAAGAACGTTTGCCTGGATCACCAGCTTGTGGGGCTGCCCGGAGGTGGACCTCTTCGCAGCCGCCAACAACAGGCAGGTGGAACAATTTTTTTCCCTCTCCAGGGACGACGGGGCTCTGGGGGTAGACGCTTTGGCGCACCCTTGGAGGTTCCGTTTAGGTTACGCATTTCCTCCACTACAGTTGATTCCGAATGTACTTTGGAAACTCAGAGGAGAGAGGATGACGTTAATTTTAATAGCGCCATACTGGCAGAAGAGGCCGTGGTTCACGACACTCCTAGAGCTTTGTGGGGAGGGGCCGCTGTTTCTTCCGCCGACAGCAGACTTGCTGGTACAGGGCACGGTGAAGCACCCGCAAGTACAGGCTTTAAATTTAGCTGCGTGGCTTTTGAAAGGGAGGTGCTGATTAATAAAGGGTTATCCGCACAGGTCGTTTCCACATTGTTGCACAGTAGAAAACCGGTCACAGCTGCAATTTACCTGAAAGTGTGGAGAGTCTTTTCAAGCTGGTACAACAGCCAAGGTAGACCGACGGCCGACACGGTGCCGTTGGTGTTAGATTTTCTGCAGGGAGGTCTGGAGAAGGGACTTTCCTGTAGTACACTGAAAGTGCAGGTGACGGCTCTGTCTAATTTTGTGGATAGTAGACTGGCAGAGGAACCTCTCATAAAGCGGTTTCTGCGAGCTGTAGTCAGAAAGAAACCCCCAAAGAGTAAGGTGGTGCCAAATTGGGATCTCTCGGTGGTATTGCAAGAGTTTCTCAAACAGCCTTTCGAACCCATGGGGGAGTGCTCCATCCAGAACCTGACGGTGAAGACAGCCCTCTTGGTAGCATTAGTTTCTGCTCGGAGAGTGAGCGAGATTCAAGCCTTCTCCATGGCTGATCCGTACTGCACCATCATGGCAGATAAAATTGTTTTACGGCCAGACCCGGCTTTTTTGCCGAAGGTGGTGTCCACTTTCCACAGGACTCAGGAGGTGGTCATCCCTTCGTTTGCAACTAACCCTACCTCTGCTGGAGAAAAGGAATGGCGGGGCATTGACGTACGCAGGTGCGTCCTAGAGTACCTTAGGGTCACGAAACCGTGGAGACGGTCGACTCGTCTCTTTGTAGTCTTTGGGGGGTCCCACTAGAGGGAACAGGGCCACTAAAAGCACAATTGCTAGGTGGATTAAAATGGCCATAACTGAGATTTACAACGCTCAGGGCTTGGCGTTGCCAGGGCCGCTCACGGCACACTCGACTAGAGCATGGGCCACTTCATGGGCAGAGCGAGCAGGGGCTACTCCAGACCAGATCTGCAGAGCAGCCACTTGGTCCACTTTCCAGACCTTCATCAGGCATTACAGACTGGACCTTATGACCCAACAAGACAAGGCATTTGGCAGGAAGGTCCTGCAAGCTGTGGTCCCACCCTAGGAGGTAAGATTTGTCCTCACTGATCCTCTCATTGGCTGTCCTGGAAGATGACTGGAGAAAACATGAGTTGATTACCTGATAACTCTGTTTCCAGGAATCTTCCAGGACAGCAGATTCCCGCCCTTGGTTGGTAGCCAGGGGACATGCATGACTGGATGTCCCCAGGGGAGGGGATACTTTGAAACGTTTGGTAGCCTTCGGTTCCAGAATTGAATAGGGATGGAAGGAGGGGTCTATTTATTTAAATGTGGTTGATGTGTTTCCTGTTGCAGGCAGGCGGAGCCTTATCTCATTGGCTGTCCTGGAAGATTCCTGGAAACAGAGTTATCAGGTAATCAACTCTGATTTTTTTTTATTTTTTTTTTATAGCGTCGGAAATGGTTAAGGTCCCTGTTTGATTTTTTTTTTTTTCTCCTAGAGACGATGGTCATCAGAACCAATAGAGAGGGATCTCCTGAGTGGGATTTTTTTTATAAATTTTAACCTTTAAAATGAATTACCCAATTTAAACTTTTTGAAGAAAAAAAAATCAAGCCTTGCTGTTGCATTTTGATCTATGTTCATTTGGTACCCATAGCAACAATGTATTATTTTTGCACTAAGATGTTTGAAAGGAAATATAACTGAAATATTAGTAATTGATTTGATGATCTTTTCTTTACTTCTGCTGGATTTTGTGCAAACCACTACCTTGCTTTTAGAGTGTTGATGGGGACGTGTGGTATACTTGGTAAATCATCATCTAAATTTTTATATTTTACAGGCAGATTTTAAACTTATGTGTGATAATGCAATGACATACAACCGGCCTGAGACGGTTTACTACAAGTTGGCCAAGAAGCTACTTCATACAGGCTTCAAGATGATGAGTAAAGTACGATCGAATGTGAAATATTAGTGCATGCCTCCATTTTTGTGTTTTCATCTGCCATCCACTTTTGATTATAGCAATATTGAACATGTTTAGCCTTGGGGACAAAAAATAAATTTATAATGAATTTTGTTTAGTTATTGAGGTTATTTTTTTAAGTTGCTAAAGGTTGTACAAATATAAGTAAAAATGGTTTGCTAAGTATATGTAGTTCTGCTGTATGTTTATCATAGATTATATATGTATTGACTTCAATGTTAACATTTTGCAGAGCACTTTTTTCTTTACTTTCTGATTTTGAACATTTTATTTCTGTTTTTGCATGGATGTTTTTGGAAAGAATAACCCAACCGTCCTGCATAAGCATTAAAATCTAGCATTGTAGGACTGAGGTAATATTGTTCCCATCCCATCCATTCATCATAGCACCTTTTGCTATGGAAGTAGATATAAAGTTCCTGCTGCTCTGTCCTTTTTGATTCTAGGAACGGCTTTTAGCTTTGAAGCGCAGTATGTCGTTTATGCAGGACATGGATTTTTCTCAGCAGGCTGCTATATTGGGGGATGAGGACACTACAGTGGAAGATCCTGCTCCAGAGGTCCCAGTCCCAGCTCCAATTGAGATGACGACAAAGAAATCTAAAAAGCCAAGCAAGGAAGTTATTCGGTAAAAATACAAGCCTTTTCTGGTAGTTAAATATGTGGACAGGTGTATAGCATGTGCTGAGACTTAATTGAATTGCAAGGATCTATGTGTTTGAGTTCCATATATTTACACAAAAGTTTCTTTTCCTTGAAATTACCCTTGGTGTAGTGAGCTGATGAATCAAAGTTTTGCCACTTACACTTTTACTAGAGCTTGTTCACATACATGTTTTGTGTTTTTCAACTCTTACTAATTTTGCTGTGGTAAATATAGTTATCGTTTGATAAATTCTCAAAATAATGTGTCACTGAAATATGTAAAGCAACTTAAAAAATAAGTATTAGTATGACCATATCTAAACCTATTTTTTCTACAATTTTTGCAGGGTGATTGAGGATGATCAGAGGTATGTCTTTGTTGATGTTTGTGGTTATTTCTTTCCTACTTGTTGTTGTTTTCCATCTGGCTGTATTACCTATGCAACCAAAACTTCTTTCTTTATAATCTGTCACCTTGTACTTTTCATGGCAGCTTTCTTCTGGCTGTGTTTTTTCTGGATTTTCTAGCTGGGAATGAACTAAATCAGCAGGGTTTGCAAGACCCAGGAAGGAACTCAAGAGAGAAGCTGATGGAGGCTGCCACCACTGAAAATTTTACTTTTATAAAAATGTCCATATGTCTGTTATAATGGCCCTTGATCTGCATTAGGGCCTGTGTTGACAGGCTTTCGTTGGCTTTAAACAGGTTTTGCATTTCCATACAAGTCTATGGAAATTAAAAACTTGCTTGAAGCAGGTAAAATGCAGGACAGAAGAAGGTGAACTGCATGTCTGATGCACCTTTCAGTAAATTCTGAATGATTTCAGAAGCTTCTCAAATTAATGTCAAACTGAAACCATTGACAAAAGCCCAAACCCTATCAACACCGGTCCAGGTTGGTGATTGTTATACTGACCCTCTGGCTTTAATATTTTCAGTCGGGCAACTAGCATTTTCAGAAGGTGGTCAGCATGGCAGCCTCATGTTTTTCATGTCAGATTTTCTAGATTACTTTTTTTGTTAATCAGGCAAGTCTGCAAAATTCAAAAACAGAATTTTAGTGCATTTAATCAGCTTTACAATCTTGCTTTGTAGTTGCAATAACCTGTGCATTTGGTCCTGACATATAAAGTTGAGCTCTCAAAAAAATTAACTACAGTTAAAATATCATTGTATATCAAACAGCACATTATTGCTTTAAAAGAATAACTCAAGGGGAAAAGATAATGCTATCCACAAAAAGTTCATTTGTACTTGCGTCTAGAATTCTTCTCGGTTTTCATTACTTAGTTTTATGTGATCCTTGCACATGCGCTGTTACTGTCAAATTCTGTTTGGTTTAACTCCATCATCCTGTCACATTGTTCCCCGTCTTTCCACTTCCATGAGATACCGTACCGAGTCTACCCATTGGGCATGATTGTTACGTGGCTATGCATCGTTTGTTTCCCCAGAACGCCAGATAACTAATAGCTAGGTGGTTTAAAGTGTAATTCCAGCTGTGACGGACCCCCGTACTCAGGATGAGTATGTCCGCCGCTGTCTTCTTCCTTGCTCAGGAGATATCGAAACCCGCTGATCTGTAGCTCTTAGTTTTTCCCCAGTCACTGGCCGGGACACGAGTGTAGGCGAAACAAACTCTGGTTTATTGAGAAACTGCACAAACTTTTATACAGCAAGTGATGAGATCAGAATATAATCCCATCACATCCACCCTCCCCTCCCAGACAATCGGTCTGCTCAACACCACAGGGCTTCCCCTGCTAACGAGCTCCAGACAGCCATAGAATGAGCCTGGCCAGAATGTCATTGTTCCGAGCTCCCTCAGAGAACAATGGGAGATAACGAGGGATGGTGCTGATAGTCTTTCCATAACCAGGTTACTCAGTGTAACGCACTCAAACATAACTCAACACCAATACACATTTAACTCCTAAAACTGATCACCATGTCGTCACACCAGCCAAAACCTTTTTCTTAATTTTAGCAAGAATAGGGAAGAATTCAATCCTTTGAGTTTTACTATTATCCAGGACTCCATTACAGAGACCTGCCCTCACTCACTGACATGATGACAACAGTTTCAGCAGCAGGAAGTGATGGAAATTCTGCAAGTACACAAACTAATTAAAAGCTGAAAGGGTTTCTAGCTTTCCCTCACTCTACTAAAAAAACAAAAACTTAAAGGAGAACTATGGGGTTAAGTCTTTTCCCCATAGTTCTCCTTAGGGTAACGGGAGGACACAAACAAGCGTCGCAAACTGAGACGCCGCAGCTGAAGCGGATCCCGACAATTGTGCCGGGATCCGCCCAGCTGCGTGACTGACAGCTGGCTCTGCCTATCTAGAGGCAGAGCCAGCTGTACCCTCCCCCGTCCGATCCACCAGTCAGCGCTATCGCTGACTGGTGGATCAATCCGTGTAAGGGAATAAACTACAGAAGTAGCATGTAGTAATAATCAGTCCCGCATTGACACATGCTATTGCATGGTACTTGTGCACCTTACTCTGTAGGAAGCCATTTGTTTAATGACCATTTGCTACACCAAGTGATTTCAGTAGCAGTGATGATCAAAGATAAATCTCCTGTGTAGTTTTAGCTTATTCATTTGACTGCCAGTGTGTGGTTAAATCTCTTGATAGCAAGAGAATGCAATCACCTATGACGCCCTAGAGTAATTGAATTCCCCTCATTGCAGTCATCGCAAGCCCGCCCCTCAGGGGGGTGGGCTTGCGATGATCGCAAGTACGATCTGCCTGTCCAAGATGGGCAGATCGTACAAGCTTTTAATTAGCTTAAACCATCGCAAGACAAAAGTCTTGCAATGGTTGTAAGGTGTATGGGCACCTTTTACAGAGCCCTGGAAAGCAGTAAAAACTTGACAGGAGTTCCTATTTTTACCCGTTTTATCCAAAACTAGAAATTAAAAAAACTATTTGGCTGGATATAGATTTTAAGCATTAGGGTGGCCTAATGCACTGCAGTTAAACCTAAATGAAATGGGGAGCCCTATGCGGGTATTCTGTGCTCCCTAAATGTCTTGATAAATCAAATCTAAAGATCTGTTAACAGTGCATTTATCAGCTTTGTATGAAAGCAGTGCTTTTATTTAAATAAGAAAGGTCTGTAGGATTGCATCCAGGTATCAGATGGGGTTGGCATTTCATACAAAAGCACTTACTCATAATGCTTTCACTTGGATTAAAATAATAATGTACTGAAATGCTTACCTCTCCTTGAAGAAAAGTCTGCTCCAAATTCCCAACACATGCAGACAATTTTAAGAATTGTAATTTTGACACACAGGAAGCCTTTCACCGTTTGGGTTATACTGCCATCTACAGGAGGACTGCAAACAAAGAAACTGTAGACTAGCCTAGAAGTGTCCTAAAAAGATGGAAGTCTTCAATGCCCTGCAAAATACTTTTTTTTTTTTTTTCTAGCACCTTTTTATCTATTCTTCAACATTTTTTTTTTCTTCAGTCACTGCACTGCTGATTGCAGCTATCTGCCACAGTGATGCTCAGCCTGGCCTTTGGAGTGCCGAGTCCAGACCCTGCTGGCCTGGAAGTTGTGGGGATAGCTTAGAAGGGACCTTCAGGCACTGGGTTCACCCTATAGCGCTTTCCAGACTTCATTCTGGTAACAAAGCATAGGGCACTTTCCAGATTCAGACCCACTAGTGAGTGGGTGGACTGGGGCAAGCACTGAGAGCTGCCTAAAGTACATAGGTCACTTAGCTTCATTATAATTCCATGTTTCCACCACGGAAGGAGTTTACACTGTGGGAGTGCTAACATCATTCACTGGGTGGAGTGCCGTGCGTGCTCTGGACTCTTTCCCACCACATGTTAGTGAAGCATCCCATCACCACTGCTCCTGCTTTATAAACAGTCACATGAAACTTCAATCCGATTCTACTGCCTGCTAAAATTATTTTGGTCACCTCCGGCCATCCATTCCTCAGTGGCTACCAGTTGTCTGGGTTTTGTGAGTAACTGAGGCCTTGTCCTGAACCTTATATTGCCTTAAAGCTAAGTTGCAAATTGTCTGATTCTAGACACGGGGGACAGTCCTACTGTACTGGGTGCTCCAGGTCACACTCTACTAAGAGCTTTGGGGTTTAGGTCGTCTGGATCAAGGTTTCATAGCCCAGTTCCTGTGAACAGTTTGAGGGGTTTTACTCCAACCTGTTCATCACTCCCAAACCCAAAGGGGTAATATGCCCTATCTTGGCTCTAAAAGCACTGAATATCTTTAGAGCTAAGAAATTTTGTGTGGAATCCACTAGGTCTGTCACCGTCATCCTTTTTGTGACATACTTATATGACCTCCTGTTGCGAAAACAGTCAACAAAAAATCTGTTGGACAATGTGGCTTTGACTATCCAGATGTTACAGTGGTTCAGATGGATGGGGGACATGACCTTAGACTAGCGGAAGGTTAGTTTTGAACTTTCCTCCTGCTAGTTTAAGGACATGTCTCTCATTCACAACCTTAATGTATTCCAATGTTTCAGTCATGTCCCCCCACTCCCTTCATTCCTGAAGACTGTACATATTAAATTCCTGCAGTCTCTCTTGATGTGTTTTATCCCTCGGACCTTTCTTTGTTGCCCTTCTCTGGACCCTGAAATCTTATTAACATCCTTTTATAAGTAACGTCCCAGAACTGGAGAAAGTATTTCTAAATAAGGTTTAATTAAAAATCTATATAGGGGAGTCAGAACCTTCTTCCTCCTGCTGGTGATAGTCAGTTTTGTCACCGCAAGAGAAGTAGATTGCACCCTATCCTGGGCAGACCTTTATGTTCAGCCTTCCAGTGTCCAATCCTCCTGTAGCTGGCAGTATAACATGAAGGTGAAAGACTTTGGTGTGTCAACATTTTACAGTAAGTACCAAAATCCTGTTTTTTTTGCATGCAGACACCAGAGTATTCACCCAATTTCTTGCACAGGAGAATTGGCTACAAATTTTAAACCACAAAAAATGTAAAAGCTTCTTGGCTGAGTGCCTAATTTTGTTTGTTTTATGCACTGTGTTCTAAGTTTTTAAGATTACTTACATAAACTAGACAACTTTAAAGTGGATCTTGCATCAGAATGCAAAGTCTGCTTCTTGGTTGTATACCCACCCTCCAAGTGAAAACACTGCATGAAACAACAGAAAAATATACTGTACATTAGAAAATATATCGAAAATTAATATAACTTGTATTACAAATTCTTTATGTGTACGCTTATTGTTGCTTTATTTCAGTTGTATTTTTGAACCAGAAGGCAATGCATGTAGTTTAACAGAGAGCACAGCAGAAGAACACGTATTGGCCCTGGTAGAGCATGCTGCAGATGAAGCAAGAGACAAAGTCAACAGGGATTTCCCCAACGGCAAGGTATATGTTTCCTAATGCAACATGCAGCATTTTAGCAGACAGAGATTTATGTTGGGAATTAAAGTGGACCTTTTAGCCCCTTTGACTAAAAAGCACATGAGCATACAACTATTCATGCTGATATGAAATCATGTTACATTTATTAGCTAAACAAACACATTTTTATTTTATTTACAATTTCTTTTCCATATCCTAGTCCACTTTGGCACAAATGATGTAATCATGTCCAAGCATTGCATCCTGGGAAGGTTACATCAGCAGTGCTTTGCTGGGAAATCTCATCTCAAGCAATTTTCCTTCCCTGAGATGATGTGCATGGTCACATGTCCTAGTCACATGTGCCAGAGTTCCAGGAAGTAAAGGGAGATCTAGTAACCTGCCCTTAGTTAAAGGGTTTTTAAACTGCCACTTTTTTTTGCATGTATCTACTGCTAGCAAGCAGTTGATTATATGTAAAAACTTTTTTTTAAAAACCAAAAAAATAAACCTTTACAAATAGGTTTAAACTTACCTGTGTCTTCGCTGCACACTCCCATTCGAACATCTCAAGCGTCTCAGGCAGCCGCAAAGGATCTTGGGGTGGGCGCATGCGCAGTTCAGATGTTCAGCCAGGAGACGAGGAGAGACCCAAGGTAAGTCTTTGGAGCAGCGTGCACCCACACAGACATCGTGGGACATGACAGAAGAGGAGGACAGAGGAGTCGACGCTGGATCGGAGACGCTGGAGGGACAGCTGAAAAGAACAGTAAAGATGATGATGATCGGATTAATAAACATAATTTAAAGGAGAACTATGGGGTCAGTGTTTTTCCCCGTAGTTCTCCTTAGGGTAACGGGAGAACACAAACTAGCGTCCTCCCGTTACCCTAAGCTCAGTATACCGCGAGCTACAGCTCGCGGTATACCGAGACGCAGCAGCCGGAGCTGATCCCGATGTAGATGACGGGATCCGCCCAGCTGCGTGAGTGACAGCTGGCTCTGCCTACCTAGAGGCAGAGCCAGCTGTACCCGCCCCCTCCCCCGTCCGTTCCGCCAGTCAGCGCTGGCAGATCGGAGCGGGGAGAGGGGAATCCAGCCCTCCCCCTGTCACGGCAGAGACTTCTAATTTATTGTCACTTTAAAATGGCCACTGTCAGAAGACTGGGAAAGAAAAGAAAAATAAGGTATGCAAAAAATAAAAAGCCAGCAATTATTTAGAAGTATGTGTTTGTAGATTGTAATTCCTAAACATATTTCTAAAGGTGCCTTTTGATATTTTGAAGATATATGGGTAACGTACCTTTTTTTAGTTGATTCTAAAATGACAACTTTTACTTCCAGATTGGTTACCTTAAAAAGAATGCAGATGGCAGTTTAATTTATACTGTAGTCAACTCTGATCCAGATGCAGAGGGTAAGTAGTA